TTTGAGCATAGTACTTAGTATTTGTTTATATATGTCACAGTTTTGCAGATGATCAGCACTTACATTTTCAGATCAGCAGTTCAGGTGGGGACTCAGACTGGGTATTACATTGATTATAATTATTTTACCATGTTTGAGATATGTATTATCAGTATCCGCTCAGAATGGTCGCCGGTCCATTCTGGGTTCTAGTGGCCTTAGTCTGTCCACTAGAGTGTGCAAATGGTGTCCGGCATTTATGCTGGTAGATGTTCAGGTATCAGTCAGGTGATGATTATCATGACATCAGTATCAGATCATGATTATTCAGTACCGGTTTCAGTTCAGTTTAGTTATATATGCCAGGATCATGATATTGTAATTATGTTCACTGTTTACTTTAGTATGAGTTTCTGCGGAGCACAGTGGATTTAGTGCTCACGCCCCATATTTTTCTTGTTTTTCAGGTAACAGAGTTGGAGCCGAGAAGTGAGCTGGCGGTCGGTTCAGGACTTTTAGTCATGTGTTTAAAAATGTTTTGACGACACTACGTTTTCCGCTGTTTATGGCTAATTGACGAATTTAGCTTTTGATCTGACTTTCAGTCGGTCAATATGTTATGTTAAACCGTTTGTTTTCTTTAAAACTAAAATAACGGTTTTTTCAGATTAAGTCATGTTTTATGGTAGCACTCCGAATTAGTATTTCGCAAATTAAATGATTTTGTTTTGAAAAACTTTGCGAAAATGCACTCTGATTTTCATGAAATTGCGGGGTGTTACACGCAACCTGGTGTCCTCTCTAATTTTATTTTTATCTCCTGAATTTTGAGCTCAGCCAAACCCAATATCTGCCCTACCACCACCACCACAACCACCACCACCTCAACCCTTTGCAGTCATCGCAAACACCGCATGCCATCCAAAACGGACCACACGGAACGCCTCCATCGCGAAGTATCACACCCCTCCATCGCGAAGTATTCAACCAGTCTACCCTAAACCCAAAGGCCGTCTCGCGAGAAAATCACTCGGCCAGGTAATCTTTTAGTGCCATAAAATCAATAGAAATAGATTCTTCTCACTGTAACTAATTCTGGAAGAGGGTCTGATCTTCCTCTTAATCCTCGCCGTCGAGAGTCTACAATTACAGACTGAACAAATGTCGTTTACAGTTTCACCAGTTCTAGGTGATCGGAAGAGCTTTGCTGACCGAGGCCGACAAGCACCATACCAAATGAAGCTATGGGCGACCAATGAGGTCCGAGCCAAGTCGAAATTCTGGTAATTATTTGTGCCTCTTTTTTTTCATGTAAAAATTATTGTTTTCTTTGTATTTCGTTATATGGTGGTAGATTTGTAGCTTGAAGTTTATGGGGTGACTTTGACCATTCTTTTTTCTCATTTTTAAGCATCTTAATGACTTGTTGATAGCTTTTATGATGCATAGCTTAATGGTTCTTAGTTTAAGCTTTAGTTAGACAAGAAACTGTGGAAATTCTAGGAGTATTTAGGAATTTGGGGAAAAAGATTCCTCATTTCGTATTATAATAATAATTCATATTTTTGCTAATTTTGGGAACTTTTAAATTCTGAATTACAATTGATGGTTTCCGTGCATAATATTTTTGAGTGGAAAGGGGAAAATAGATTTGTGGTAGTAAAAAAATTTTCTATCACTTTGTCCAACCAATGGAGTAGCAAGTGCCATAGTTGAGCAGAAAAAAGGGGAAAAAATGGGCTTCTAATCACCAAGGACTTGATCAGGTGTATTTCTAGGTTTCTATCTGCTAAGTTTGTAATAATGCATTTGGAATGGAATCTTGTTTTAGTATTACTAACATTGTATTGCTATTTATTAAACGAAACGAATTGGTGCAGCCCGTCATGATTGATAGAATAAGAGATGCAAGGAATAATCTCATCATTTTATTAGATCTTACTCAGCTGACAACTGCTCTCATTATTCAAATATTTTGTTTTTATGGCTGAGGATTATATGGTCTGCATCTTGTAATTTAAAATATAGAAGTTGTGTATTGACATGATAAAATGCTCTGCAAAGGATATATTGAATGAAGTTCATCAATCACAACATATGTTTGTAGTTAAGCAGTTTCAAGGGTTGACATCTGAAAAAAATCTCATATTTTCTAGAAAGGATGCCTTCATGGTGGGGTAAGTCATCATTAAAAGAATCAAAAAAGTAAACAACCAAGCAAAGCTTCATTGACCCCCTACACAAGAAGTTCAAATTGTGTGTATGTGAGCGAGAGAAAAACTATGACAATAGAGAGTTAGGGGAAGAACCGGCGGAGAGGTGAGCCGGCGAGAGAGAGAGAGAGAGAGAGAGAGAGAGAGAGA